GGGACAAGGGCAGCATGCCTGCAGGCTTCGGGAAAAACACCAGCTGGTGCAACGTTTCACCTCCCCCCCCCCCTCCAACCCACCTGGTGCTGGAGGTCCACGCATAGGCTGCTCATCCGGTCCATCTGGTCTAGCACTTCCCCGATCTGGGTCTGCACCCCCATCATCGAGGCACGCTCGTCCAGGAAGCCCGTGAGCTGGGGCACACGCCACGCCGCGCTCACGCACACCAGCTGGCGAAGATACACCTGCGGCGGCACGGATGGCGTCAGCGAGAAGATGCTTCAAGAGCCGTGTGGTGAGCACAACTTTGGCGACAAAGTATCGGAATTGCGAGTACCACCAATTTTTGGTATTGATCTTGCTTGGTATTTTCTATCACCCCGAGGGAATTTTCTATTTTGGTTCGAACGATCTTGAGAAATTTGGTCTTTCCCATTTCTTCCAGTTTCCCCCAAAGACCGCAGAAAAGGTCCGAATATTTGATCTTGCTCATATTCATCTTTCGAGCAACAACTTCTGATAAACTTCGCTGACCAAGCGCCCCGTGTGACATGCATACCCCGTGGGCTTCATGAGGACTCTGCAAACGCCACAAACAACCTTTGTGTGTGCGCCAGAGGGAGCCCGAACACGCGGCAGAAACAAGAGAGCGGCAGGCGGAGGGTAGTAGGAAGTTTCGTTTGCACGCATAGCTGTTGCTCGTTGGACAGCACCTCACGACACACGCTCTGTGGTGATTGCGGTTGAACATTTTCAAACACGACGACAGACAACACACACCGCTTCCGCCGCTCGGAAGGGAAAGGCTCACGCGTTGCGCAGCACGCTACACCTCTCAGGGTCAGCCTACCCACCCGGCAAACGGATATCAAAGCGAAAACAATAGCCCAGAATAGGGGCGCATCCAAAAGGTTCCGTGGCGGTCTGCGTTTGCATCCACGTGATGTAAGTGAGAGTGTGATGTTGGGCGTGTGCCCAGAAAAAATGTCTCAGGAGCCACATGCCAGGAAGAGGCGTGGTGTACAGGTATTCTTTGCGCACGATAGACGGGCAAACTACTGCTGTGATGGGGCAAAGAGTGCAATCAATAGAGGTCTCCAGTCTGATGGCTTATGGAAGAAGGAGCTTCGGCGGAGCAGAGAAGTCTGGTGGTGCTGATTCACGGGCGACACGTGGTTCCTGGTGCATGTCTGAACTTCATGAGCAGAACTTCTCAAGAACCAAAAAAAGGGCAAACGGCCACGTGCGTGACGTCCATGCATTTATGTGTGTGTCCGTCCCATCTATTCTGGCGCCGGTTTCCACGCCTTTCGGCTTATACGCCTGACGTGTCAGCCGGCGTCACACAAGAGGAACGTCACAGAGGATGTTTGTTTTCATTTTTGTTTTGTTCTGTTATGTTGCCCCGCGTTTCCCCCTGCATGACTTCTTGAAAAACGCCCAAAAAGAGGTCAGAGAGAGAGAGAGAGGCAATCCGGTCTTCGCAAGCAGTTTGACAATCAACTTCAGATCTCGATTTCGAACTTGCTCCCGACTCCCACGACCAATATCAAAGACTCATCTGCAAACTCCCTAATTCTTCGCGCAAGAGGTCGGTCTCGCAATAGCAGTGGAGACAACTTTTGTGAGTCTGAGCGATTTGGGTTCGGATCTCCCGGAAGCGAAAAAAAACAACGCATTTTAAAAGTGGAGAGGGTACAGGCCTCCGCTTGGGCCGCCAGAAAACGGTACCCCGTGGTCTTGGCCAATCAGCGATGGGCGTCGGGGTCAATTCCCGAGTGATTTCTGTGTGTTGAATGGCAGTTTGGTGTCACCTGAAATACTCCCCCCCGGTATATTATACCGTTCCCTGTCGTTTGAATTCAAAGGAAACCTTGTCGTTGACCCAGGAGAGAACTACAGGGGATGCAAAATGTATCTAGACATGTGTTTTTGTACATAACTGCTATGATTGATGTAATTGAGTGCGTAGGCTTGAACACACTCAAAAATAAGGTCAGTACCGAGTCGATTTCCCTCCACTCACTGAAAAGATTTCAGCACATCCCTCGACTGCTGCTGTTGCTATGTCTCGAATGGGTAGTCTTTCTTTGATTGCATGTAAATTTTCAAAAACAGAAGAAAAAAAATGAGTTACCCCCACCGGTGCGCCGAACGTGCACCGAAAGCCGCGCACTGGCGCCGAGAACGGATCTAGAAAACAAAAAAAGTATGATCGCTTCCAACGCAGATTGGACACCTACAAAAGTCACCTGTAGATACGGCGGTGACTACACCGAAGAATCCTTGTGAACTGGGACGGCCACCTCGGCCGCATTCACTCCGAAATATGACACGCACATGACTGGCATAGGGATAACTCTCATTTCCCAATGCAAGGGCGTTCATCTGCGCCCGTCCCCCTCTCCCCCGGAACATGAACTATCTTCCTTACCACCGATCTGCGTGACCTACCGCAGTGCGCCGAACACTCACAGCACAGACGGGACTTACGCCCACTCATCACACGGCGCGCACATACCTGTAGAGCCAGCCCCCGGGCTTCAGCGAATGATGGGTCGACGCTGCTCCCCAGGAGGCGTTTTCCGGGCAGGTGCGGCACGTCCTCCGGTTTCAGGTGCTCCGACACCGCCGTGTGCAGGGAGAGGAACTGGCGATACCTGCAGAGCGCGGGGGGGGGGGGGGGGGGGGGGGGTTTTGACCCAACAAAACCCCCATTTTTGCCCCCCAAAGTTTAAAAAAGGGGGGGGCCCCGTTTAAAAAAAGGAAATTGGGGGACATCCCCGGGCCCCACCCCAATTTTTTTAAAAAGGAATTGGGAAAAAAAAAATTCCAAAGGGTGGTTTTTTTTTGAAAAAAAAATGGTTTTAAAAAATAAAAGGGGGA